GGGTGTGGGTGGGGTGTGAGTGGGCGTGGGTGTGGGTGTGGGTGTGGCTATGCGTGTAATCTTTTATTCCTTGAAATCTACACACACACCCCACACTCACACTCGCATCCACATCCACACACCACCCACACCCTCCGTAATTATTTTTTTACACCATTACATGTTCTGAACAACTCTATCTGAGATATTTTCAATTAGTAAAATGTTGATGCTCCAGAATAGTGAATCTCTATCGCATAGATATATTGTGACATTTAACATAGACAGATTTTTAAAAGCAAGACTTCATATTCACCTAACAATTTGATTGATTATCAAGCAAGATTTTTGATGACTCATTAAACTTATTTTTTCAGTTTTGCTTAGTTCCTAATATATTAGACATTTCTTTTGATACATTTGCCCTTGATTTAGTTTAGTTTTTAGTTAGTACGAAGATATCTGTAACGGGAAAACATATCAGTTTGTAGTAACTACCTTTGTTACTATTCTCGATTGCTATAGTGACGAAGACTGTCGATAGTTGTCGATTAAACGTGGTTTATCGGGAATCTTTTTTTAGAAAAAATCGTTCTTTTCTGCTTGATAAGAAACTTACAGAAATAGTTTTTTTTTTAAGAAAACTTTTGAATTTTCACAGTTTGACATCCATCAGATATTGTCAACGTGCTGAATCCATCTCAAGCATTAACATAGAATGAATATGTCTCCTAGCCTAGATTCACTTCACAGCTTCTTACTAATTTTTGGTTGATCATCACTAGCGAATCCACTCACCCGCAACTAGCTTCTGTCCACTCAAGGTGAACATATATTAAAGATAAATATTATTTTCAATATTAAGTTTTTGTTGCCCTAAACACCATCCAAAAGTAGTGTGAATAAGAATTTCTAAACACACAATTTTGCAGCAACATCTATTTTCATTTAATTTTTTCTGTTTGTTTTGTTATTAAGTGAATGAAACTATGATTGATATGCTGAAGTAAGCTATCAGATATTTTTCATCAATGAGAAACGAAAGAATGACACTCTTCGCATTTAACGCAAGACTATTCTGTTTTTTGTGTGCAATTTTCTGATCATTGTGACCACTCAATCTATATTTCCAAAGAAATCTTCAGGTAAGCGTAGGTTTATTGTTACAACTATTTCAGTATTTGCAACATGACAAGTGTTAGATAAGGCGTGATAATGACATAGAGTCTTCCGTATCAGCTGGCATTTGAATGAATTGCAAGCAACAACTTAATTTGAAAAAGAATATGTCATATTCAGTGTCATCGGCATTTACTATAAAATAACTATAGATTTGATCGTATACAAACAAATTTATGAATCATTAGTAACAACAATACTGATAGGTTCAGACTTTCAAATAAAAAAAATTTTGATTTTATTTTTACTTGATGTATAATAGAACGAATAATGTAAATATGTATTGTTCACAATCATAAATATAACTGATATTGTTGATGTAACTTAAGATACAACCACAATCACTAACAATAATATTATCATCTTGAGTACAGTCATTTTAATTGAATTAAAATAATGAATTGTTTCTCTAAATATAGAAAAATATCTCTACTATATTATGCTTTCCTTACAATAAATTCAATTATATCATCAACATCTGTTACGATTCTGGATGTGAATTATGCATATTTATATTATTCATCATAGACATCAAGTTCTGATGATGATAGAAAAGACTGGAAATTTAATGTTGAAAAAAATAAAATAAAAAGTTTTTGATTTAAAAATTTGAATCTTTAATCATTGTCAGTGAAAACTATTCATAAAGAATAGTTGAGATACTTGCAAGCAAGGAACATAGGAACCCTTTTAACTTCGGTTTTCCAGAGTGATTAAAAGAAGATGAAAGTAACTCTTTTTTTAAAATGGAATCAAACTATCAACAAATGAATTTTTTTGCAGTGTTCTATGTGATTGAAAATGGAAACATAGTATTTTTGTGTAATTGGTCCATATCTTCACGACAATAATGAATAGAATTGAAAGAAAAGATTGATTGAGATTAAAAATATATTGGCTGTTATTAACACTATTGCATGTTGAAAATTCATCTGTATAGAAAGAAAACTAAAGAAAAAATCTATGCTATTAAACAAAATATCATCAATTCATTCATCGAACAGTTTGTATACAATAGCGAATATTTTCTCTATGTAATTTATTAAGACACATATAGTTAAGATAAACGAAAAGATTAAAATTAAGCATGGTTAAATACTAATTAGAAACGAATAAATTGAAGTTAAAAGAAAAAGTTAAAAACGGAGAAAAATTAGTGAAGTAAAAATAGTCATGGATGTAACAAAAACCACTAGACAAAGACGATCAATGACCCTTGCCACAAATTTCCATTCTTGAGATTCATCATCTTCTTTCTCTTGTTGTCGAGAATGATTAGTAAGGATACCAAGTTGAGAAACAATAAAACGTAGCTCAGAACGAACCATTTCTGTATCACATTTATTCAATTCGTTGTATGTATTCCGATGATGATGAGCATGGTGAGTTTTTGTTGCTGAAGGTACACTATATTCTAATGACGAACTTGACCGTTGTTTTGCTCGGTTTTCTAAGAATTCTAAAGGTTCTCTGTCAGTATTCATAGCGTTGGTTGGTGATAATTCGAATGTGTTACTCAACAAGGGTTCCGAAGGAATCTTAGATTGATCATTGCCAATTGATTCATCTATCTTACTCGATTCTTGTTTTGAAGAAGCCCATCGCCGACGAATTGCACGCCAACTTAAATCATGATCAGGACGTTTCATAAATAATAGCCATGCCAAATAGTTACAAATATATTTACGAACCTGAAATGGTTTCTAAAATGATGTAATTTATTAATTTTGAAATATGATTTACCCATAATGGCATTGTATAATTTTTCGAGTTTCGAAAATGAAGTGATAATACTATTACTGATGCAAGAACTGAAACCACTGACATGATCATAACACACATGAAATAAATGGTAATGATTGGTATAGCAGTTGAACTTGGTGGCATAATTTCTGATAGAAGTAAACTGAACATAACAACAGTTAGAAGAGTTGTAATCTCTAAAGATTTAGAATATATAAGAATAATTTTTTTTATCATGAAATTCTAACTTACGCAAGTTTATTTTATCACCACTATCTGGTGGTAATAAAAGTCCGAGTATTGTCATACAACTGATAAGAAAACAAGGTACTATGAAATGGAAAAATAATAATATTAATTCAAAGATTATAAAATAATCTCATAATTTGTATTTTATTACCAACAGTATTTGTAATATAATAAAGAGAACGTCGACGCATTCGAATAGTGTATAATACATATGGATATATATTTGGACAACAGTCATATTTGGTTCTATTGTTCGTTGCAGAGAAGTCTAAAACAGAATGAATAGGATGAAAATCAATATATAATCCGTATTGACTACCTTCTAAATCCCATTCAGCACTTGTGACATATGCATCTAATTGACCTTTATTACTTTCTGCTGTCAAATTGATTCCTAAGTAAATAAAAAGGCATATAACATGTAGAAACATTTGGTATTACATCCTAGACATAAAAGGATTTAATTACATACCAACGGCATCATATGTCCAAGACCCGAATTTCAGCGTACAATATTGTGTATCCAAAAAAAGACAAACATTCAAGATAAAAGTATGAAAGAACTGCCTTTTTTTTTTCATACTTACAAATGGAAATGCAGCAATATCAAATGGACAATTTGATTTGAACAATACTGGTGGAACATAGAGTATATCACCAGTATGTTGTACAACGGCATTGACTTTCACTGTAGTATCAAACTTTTCATCAGCTCTTTAAAAAAACACAAACATCATTTTTCAAAGTATCTATTTTTTTTTTCAAAAAATAATCACGTGTTGTATAGAAAAATGTCTGGTGTCCAAATTTGTGTACTTGGTATTCGTATTGTTTGAATATCACCAAAATCTTCTGGTTTCCATTTTAAACTATAATCATTCCACATCTATACAAACATATATGAACAATAAGATCAGATATTATAGCTAAATATACATACGATAGTCATCCAACCACTAATACTAATAGCTTCGTTTTTTCCATCCTATTTATATTTTAAAATTGAAGAAAACATGAAATATATATATATTTAATCTCACTTACAAAGCTAATAATTTGTTGTAAAGCTAAATTTATAGTAACAAGTAATGTATGAGAATCATTTTGAACAGGTCGTGCAATTGATTTATGTTTATTATTCAATAAATATTCTAACAAACGAAGTTGATCAGGACCTCCAACTAAAATTCATTATGTTTTTTTTATTTCCTGAAGAAATTTATTAACTTACTTATGAAGTTGAAACAGCAACATATGATTATGAGAAATATTTTTAATTGTTGTTGAATTGTATAAAACATTTTTCTTTGAAGATAAAATGAAAACACCGTCGAATTTTTTATTGATCAAAATCTTTTTTTATATTATGCAGAAATATAAAATGTTAACAAAAAGTGCAGATACTAGACATAGTAGAGTCTGTAAGATCTACGATTTTGCTATTCAGAATCGTACGTCTAACACTCTTAATGAACTTTGCATATTTATATTTCATAGTCACTACGAAGATATAAAATGCTTTTATTTTTTCGATTATTTTTTATTCATCGATTAGTATCTATTGAGCAAAATCCAAAAAGAAAGGCTTAAAAGCAAAACAAAAAGTAATGTTACTTCTAGCTGAAGCTTATAATTCGATTTTTAAACTAATAGAGATTGATTGTTAATAGAAATGCATGAAAAATTAAACGACATTGGATTTTATAGAAAAAAAAAACTCGATACATTTTATAATAGGTCATGTGACAAAATATTTTCGATTATTCGTATTATTATAATGATTTATAGTGCAAGTCTAATAGATCGTATGACTGAGTTAAATTAATACAGAAATATTTTGTTTTTTTCTTTAAACGAAATCAAAACATTCTTAACATTGAAAATCGAAATTAAATAATAAAATGATAAATTTCAAGGTTTTGTCAATAACTTAAACATATTCGACTAGAAGTACAATACTTCACTATAATATCTATACGATTGAAATATTTCTGCATTAATATAAATCAAGTTTTTATTGTATCAAATCATCGTTCGTTATTAATGATTTCGATTATTGTCTAAAGCAATAATAATGATATTTAATACTTATTACGCTTAATGAGAAACTATAACGAAGAAAAAAAAAACCTATTCATTATAAAATGACATTATTGTTTAAAACACACGTGCAATAAAGAAGGACCTAACGGTTGTCGAATACTATCTGCACGTAATTATAATTTGATAGGCAATCCTATTTCGTAGTTTAAACAAATAACGAAAATGATAAACATTAATTCAGAGACGATTGACATATCATCTTGTCATGGTTGAGTGACGAAAAAAAAATGTGAATAAAAAAAAATATGCATCTGACGATAAGGATAATTATGCTTGGATTGAATGATAGTCCTTTCTAACTTTCTTTTTTTTTTTTTACAGATAATTCAACTTCATGTTTGAGACGTAGAATATTAAAAAGAATCTATAACCATCAAATATAATACATCAGTTTATAAGACAGCAATTGATAACGATTGTTTTGTTTTTTAAATACTAGTGTGTGGGAACATAAAGACAATGAAGAGATGTATTCTATTAAAATGTTAGTTGTTGTTTTTTACAAATCCGCTATGATTTAATGCGAAAATTTCAACTTGATTGGAAAAATTTTGTTTAATTGTGTTTGATTTTTTTTATGCAATTATTTATCAATTATTCGATATGAGATTATATATTTATTTTTATTAATTATCTATTACAAGTATGAGTGATTTTCAAATATTAAAAACTGTATAATTGATCGAAAATTCACAAAAAAAAAATTGTTTTATTTTTTATTATTAGAGTACTATATTTCAGATATGAATAATTCGGACTAATAATTTAATTATTATACTCCATTGATCTCGAATTCAAGATGAAATTTTGATGTTTTTTCAGTGTTTTATATTTTTTAAATGCAATAAAAGATATTTATTATGTATTATGATTATGATCTTATATAGGTCAACACTTAGTACAATTTACATATTTGAAAAGGTGACACTCATTATTATATAAAAGTGATGAATCATTTTATTAATAAGTGATTTTTGTCTTATCTTGATTTCTCTTAATATTCATCGTCAATTATTTATTTTTCTTTCTTGTTTGTCAATATCTATTTAATTAATTATTCTTATTCGAATAATTCTAAAGTTGAATTTTCTAAATATATTTATTTCCGAAAATAGAACTTATGCAAGAAGAATCTGCTGAAAAGTTCCTATCTCAAGTAAATTTAACCATGAGTAAAAAAAAAAATCTTTCAAAGTTATACTATTTTAATGATCGGCTATATATATATTGATAAAATATGGGAACAAATCAATTGAATCATTTGAGAATGTTGTTTCATGAAAATTCGATAACACAAAAACAAAATATGACAATGACAGATGTTGATATTCATATAGAAGTAGACGATAACATTGAATAATGTTCAATGAACACAAATATTAGAAGAAGCATTTCTGAAATTAGTTATAAGAGTATTGGATTGACATTCAAGATTGTAACTTCTTTCAAGTTTTGTAGAAATCTAGTTCAATGATCTGTTTGTGATATTTTATACCATTACATGATCTATGGTATCCTCTAGTAAAATACCATACCTATATAGAAATAGTAACACAAATGAATATTATTGTGTAGCTTTTTATGATTGACAACAATTCTTGGCAATCACAGACAATGACGAACGCTTTGGTAACATTTGTCTTTCTCACCACTTATGTCATACAATCTATATCAATAATCTTTTAAAGAATTAAGTAAAACAATAGTGAAGAAATATGTCATAGTTTGCGTTAACAGCATATTTTTTTTGAGTTTTTTAAACAATGATAAACGATTTTTTTTGAAAAGTCAAGATGAGCAGCTTTTCCTGTCTACTATATTCTAGTTAAAAAAGGCTACGAAGAATTTCATTAGTAATTCAATTACCTAAAAATTTGATATTTTTTGTATTATATGCATCAATACATTGATAAATATTTGAAATTAAGTCCTAAACAATCTTTCGTATGACAACCGATCAAATTGAATTGTACATCAATTTAAAAAAGTACAAATTACATGATAGAAATATTCTTCGAATTATAGAAGTTGAATACGATCTTCAGCCTCATATAGATAGAAAAAAAAATCTTGCCAAGAAAACGGACATGTCGCCATATTAATATATAGTTCTCGTATATTTTTAGTCTATTCATTGATGCATTGAATTTTTCGATTACCACAATCTAACAATAGTTCCATAGTGAAAAAAGTTTGACCACTGAAATTATTTTTCATATTGTTATTATTCGAATAGGTTTTTCCATTGCCATAATAACTATCATCATTTGACCATCCATAATATGAAGATGGCTACTTCGAAATGTAATGCAGTTTTATCTATATGGAATTTTATTTTTTTGATCTACCCAATGAATATTCATTTTTACCATGAACATATGAAATCATAGTAGAATCTTGTTGAATAGCTACACGATATCATTATCAACAATTTGAACACTTTCACAAATTCTCACAAGTTTTTCATCTTGTTCAAATCGTTGATTTATCGATTTAATGTTTAGTCTTGTAAATTCATTGTCCATAGACGAAAACTAGTCTCAGAAAAATTATCATTTTTTTCTAGCCTTTCATAATTGTTTGGTAATACGATGTAATTTGGAAGATATTTTCTCTAAATATATGTATAAATATACAAAATTTGATTAATTTTACTTTTTTATATATTTACTACTATTTTAAAGAGCAAATGATTTTTCAACTTCTTGTCGTGTTAAATCTCTTTCCCATTCGTTAACTTGTTCTATCAAACGATGATAATCGCTTTTGTTTTTCTTTCTGTTCAATCATTATTTGTTGTAAATAGTGGCGTAACTAGGTTAGAGATAGAGAAGCTCATCCCTATCACCCAGCGTTTTATCATACCAACCGAATTTTCGTATCAAAATGAATAAAAGTTATTTATTACATCTTAGTTCGAATTTTGAATTATAGAAGTATAATATGCCCATTTTAGACTAGAGCCTTAGTATGTTTTTTTTTAAATTTTTGAAACCATTAGAGATTGAAAGTACTAATCACTATCTTATGTTATCTGTCATGACTCCTACCTCTTGAGGAAAACTAAGAATAAATTGAAATGTTATATAAATATATAAATAAAACTCATGAAATCTGGTACATCGAAACACTAGACCAATATGTCTTTCTTTCCATCGTCTTCATCAGAAAAATAAGCTAAATAACCAAGAGCAATTCTCGTCATCCACATTTATACAAAGATTAGTCTGATTTGTTTTATCTGAAATATAAACTTTTAATTAATTGTTTTCTCATGGTTTTAATTTCAAAATTCGAGATTAGCTTATTTGAAAGTTGGTCTGTACCATAAATGTTTCATTACTCATATAATAACTGTCTTTACAATTAGACATTGAAATATTTATTTAAAAACATAAAAAAAAAACTACTAATATAGAAATTGCCTAAAACTTAACAAGAACAGTTAAGAACTAATTCTCATAAAACATTGAATCTGTTGTCTACAAATTGGACATGAACTAAGTGCATATCCACATGGAACACAAGCACATAAATGTCCACAAGGCATACATGCTAATTGTTTTTCTTCAGTAAGACATATACAACATTCACCTAATGATTGTTTTAATGATTGAGATGAACTATCGAACAATTGTTGATATTCTGATGGAATTATTAAATTATCTGAAGAACCTTGAATAATATCAATTTGTTTTTGAAGAATCGAACAAGCCATTGTTAAATCAATATCTGTTTGAAAATCATCATTTTTGATTTTAAATTGATCTTCAATACAACGTTTAATTATTGCTAATGAATATTGAGAACGAAGATGTTCAACTATAGGTAAATCAAGTCTTGATTTAACTAAACGAGTAAGTTGATCTTTATTTATTTTATTTTCTGCTAAAATTAGTTTTTTTTTTGATGTTTGAATTCTTTGATATAATTGATTTCCACATAAATGTTTAGCATAAGTACAATGAGGAAACCATCGAGCATGTTCAATCATAGGATTATCATTTGGACCCCATTTATGTAATGAACCATTACAATAAAAACATGTTACTGAATTATCAATACCAGCAAAAAAGAATCCAGCACGAACCAAACTTTCAATACTTGGCAAATTTTCTTTCCAATTATCATTAGAAAATGTTTCTTCTCGACAAGATATTTTTGCCATTTGTGGATGAGATGGCTGAAATGTTTCTTCAAGTTTATCAATGATTATTTTTGGTGAATTATTTTTTGAAGGCATTGAAAGAACAAATGGACATTGTGGAGCAATTCTTGTATGAACTTCAGCTGGATCATCATTAATTGTCCATTGATAACAAATTGTATTACAATATATACAAATAACTCGATCATTAACATTACATGAAAACCAACCAGCAGATGCCATTGATTCACTATTTGGTGTAAAATGTGACCAATGAGAAAGACTACGAATTCGAACTTCTCGTATTGTTTTTGATTCATTTAATGAATATTTCTTTTTTTCAATAAGAAATTCTTGTTTTGGAATATCTATTTCTGAAGTGAGAATTGTTTTCTGTTTTTCTATCTTACTTACAGAGGAGCAATCACTATGTAGATAACATTGTTCAGTAAAGTCTCTAGTTCGAATAATGTCAATAGTAGCCATGTTGATATGGTTCAATAAAGTAATAATGAAATGATGATAAGTTTCATTTTTATAGTATTTTGATTGAGATATGTTTTGGAGAATACCTAACATCATTGGTTTTTTTTTCGTTCTGAATCTTTATTCAATGGAGCAGAAAAACAAACTTTTGTCATGATGCACGCGTCATGACTGTGTCTATGTAGATGGAAGAAAAGAAAAGAAAGAAATTTACTTTTGCGTCTTTTGTTTGGTTTATGACGAAGTATTATTGTGCAATGACTTATATCATTTATTTTTTCTAATTGTCCATGCATGGAAAGTTTTAGCTTAGATTGTTGTCCATATGTCAAAAATCTTCTTTGTATCACACATTAATTGAGACTTTATTCCAAATAGTTTTGAAATTTTCTCAAATATTATCAAACTAAAGTCAGTTATCATTGCTATTATTTATTCATGTTAGAATATAAAATCATCTGTATATTCTATTGTAAGTTTTTCTTTTTGAAAGTTAAATAACATTTAATAATAAACACAATCTTTAATGTGTTTTTGTTTTTCAAATAGATTTGACATATTTACAGAAATGAAAACATCGTATTTCTTATCAGAAATAGTTTTTACTATTTAGACATAGAAATATTATCTATGAAATAATATTTCAATATTTGATTTTCTTTTTTCTTTTCATTTCATAAATCCTAAGAGAAAATATTCATTTTTCATTAGATAATATGCATCTAAATATATGTCTACAAAATTGTTTTTTTTTTATTTTTCTTATGTACAAACTTTCGTATGAAATATTTACTCTTAATTTAATGAGATATGGAGCAAGAAGAACAGCACGTGGCGATGTGTCTATACCTTTTCTATTGACATTTTTTTGCTTTGCATACTTACATACCGATAACTCACTTCTTATTGTCAATAAGGTAATGAAAAAAGAATGAGTAAGAAGAATCAAATTACTAGATTATTTTGTATTTTGTTATTTTATCTATCTTACCAAGGACAACATTAACGCAAGTCATATTATTTTGATGGATATTTTCATGAATAAGTCAACAAGAAACAACACAAGGTTTTCTGAAATCTTTTTCATTCATAGAATTTCGTAGAGCTCGTTACACTAATCATTTTGGTAAAAAGAAATATTTAAATTTACTCAATAAATAACGTTACAACGGTCAAAATATTCACAAGCATCAACTATCGTTTTGCAGCAGTCAGGAATAGTTGAACGCGTTCGATATTTTGACCGTAGTAGCGTTATTTATTGAATAAATTTGAATATTTTTTTTTTACTAAATTGATTAGCATAACGAGCGCTACAAAATTCTATGAACGAAAAAGGTTTCAAAAAAAACTTGTATTGTTTCTTGTTGACTATTCATGAAAATATCCATCAAAAATATGAATTGCGTTAATTTTGTCCTTGGTAGTAGTATGAATGAAGAAAAAAACATCAAAAAAAAAAGATTTTCAGCGAATTCAAAAATCAGCTGATATGTTTTGAACTGAATTTTTTTTAATTAAAACTTATGTTACTTATTATTCAAATAAAAAAATTTTTCTTCAGTTCTACATATAACATAGTTAAATGTAGATAAAATGAGTTTGTTCAAGATCAATCTTGTTAACTCGATTCATTTTACTGATGTCGAAAATATCAAAAATAGAGGATGTGGGTATGTGCATGATCCGGGAAGGGAAAGGCATACTCATCCTGCAAGCAGAAATAGAAATGACTTCATATAAATCTTTCTTTATTAATTGGCAAATAATTTGATTCTGTTAAGGTTTGAATTAATTTACCAATTCACCTTTCAATCTTTTTGCATTTCAACATTTTCATTTACGATCAAAGTAAGATTTAGTATTAAATAATTGTCTGATTATAATTTTTTTCTTTATTATTTGAAACACAAATTGAAATTGTTGGGGTTTTTTTTTCTTTAAATAAATATCTTATTTGTATACTTTTCATTTTGAAGAAGAAAAGAACACGAGTATCAAAAATTTATATTTTGATCAAATTATTCATTGAATTTTGATGTCTATTCTAAAATGAATATTTTATGATGTTTGAATAAATTGAAAAATAACAAAATATTCATGATAATCATAAATAAACCTACGCAAATAAACTATGTACTGTAGGATTGGTTTAGTCTTTAAAAAATATCAAGATAATTCGTGCTCTTAACTGTATTGATTTGAAACTTTTATAATTGGAGGCAAACTATTTGTGATTCTTCCGTTATTTTTGAAAGAATCGATACACAGTACTGATTAATTTTCAAATCTTTGATAGGGCTCAATGGGACTTGTATAGTGAACAATGATTTATTTGATTGAAGCTATGCTTTATATGTCATTAATGATAGTGAATTCTGAAATAGGAAAGACAAACATTATTTAATAAATATTATGGCGATTTACTAAATCATTTAAAAGTAAATTGAGAATGAAAACGGATGAGATGAGTCATTCGTAACACCAAATGATCATCGAAGTTCAGAAGTGTTAATAAATAATTGAAATACAAACATATGTCTTATGAAATATCTTTAACATAACTTATGCATATTTCTACATCAAATCAAAAACAAGTTTTGATGAATCTTAACTATAATTTCTCAAAGATAGATGCATAAATTTTTTCTTTTTCATTTTAATATCGATAAATGTCTTGAAGCCATTCAATCTAAATGTACTCATAGATTAAATTTACTTTTATAGTGTATTCATTAACAAAGATTCTTTGATAGACATCATCTTTCATCATCAAGTGTATATAAATAGAATGTTCACATTTTATTTTCATTTGTTTCAAAACAAATATTTGCTTTGTCATTATATTTATCATAACTTTAAAGAAACTTTAACACAACACAGATAACTATCTGAATCTTCAATAAACAAAAAATGGAAATTCTATTAGAAATCAGCATTTGTTTCATCGAACATCACCAATACACGGTCAAAATTTTGTTCGAATTCAAAGACTATTGCATGCTCTAAGTATCTTTGTAAAAAGAGAAGAGAGAGAGAGATTAGTCACTTGATTAATCTTGAGAACACTAGGAATTTGTTGAGAATCTTGGAATCCGAAATGATTTGTTGTGAGACCGAAATTGGTAAGTGCGTGTGTAATAAGGATAAAGAAAGGAAACTTCATAGTTCATTGGATTTCCAAGTGAAAAAAATATTAGTGAAGATAAACAACATAACTAGTCTGAAATGTTTGCAATATCCATCCAGTCTCGTCTGAAACGTTTTTCATATTCATCAGAACTGGTTGTCTTGACAACACGTACCCTACAGTTACATCTGAACTAATTCAGGACATGTGTGAACTTCCATCATGCCTAGCCAGTTTATACTAGTTCGGAAAACAAAAATGAATAAAAAAGTTGTTAGCGAAGTCCATGCAGGCTTGAAATGTGAAACACGATGCTGTTGTTATTGCTAATCATAGGAAGATTGTTTTATTTTGTCAATCTTGAAACACATCTTGTCGCCCTCGTTTTACTTAATGGGTATGGACGACTAAAATTCCTACTTTATATACTTCAACACTCGTTTTAAATCACGTTTTATAGAAAGACAACAAAAAGACGCATTAGATCATTCGACCTACTAGTATTCAATACTTTTCGGGTGTCCTGACGCCAAACCATCACTTGATAATTGACTAACATTTGTTTAAAAAGAAGAAAGACGCTCGACTATTTCCGAGAAAACTAAGTACTGATCGAAGGCAAGGTGCTTAAATATTTTGAAAATTTCTTTAGTGGTACTCAAGGTTAGCATATTCTGCATGGTCATAACTAATTTAGTTTTTAAAACATAATATCATTTTCAATTCAGAGAACTACGAAATTTCTTAGGAATTCATTTTTCTCATACTAATTGCCCAACAAACTAGTTTATAGCGACCAATAATGGAAAAAAAACCTGTTATATGAAAAAAAAATTTTCAATATCTATTTCGATTATGGATATTAAATGGTAGGTAATCAATAAAAGAATACTATTGCTGACAGAAACATAGAATGAGCTAAAACATACAGTTTTTATATGAGACTTCCTATTTTAAGGTTTCTTAATAGCTATTATAGGAAAATGTTTTGAGATAAAGATTAGACAGGTTGAGTCAGCATGACTTGAACAATACTTGACATTTAGCCATCATTAATTCATTTGACTTTCTGGATGAAACATAGTCGTTAGTGATTGTGGAAATTTTCCATCTGGTCATCTTGCAAGCCTATAAAAGTTATGATTGATTTAATGAGACTTCTCCATTATGAATCACTTTTCAATCCAATATGTATGGCCCTATTTCTACAATTTATTTCAGCGATTTTCATAAAGCAACGTGTTAGTCCTATTTCTAAGGTTAAAGAAGCTAAAACGGAACACACTCAAAAGTTCTTGAATAATGAAATGTCAATAAAATGTTTCTCTTTCATTTCAATACGTAGGTGTTTGTATGATTTGTACTGTATAATCTCGTACTTCACCATAACCTGTGTTTTGACACGCCTTACGATTTCTTGCATCTTGTGTCAAAATAACACGCATTCGATGTTGTCCACCAACGTTATATCTACCATCAATTTGTGGAATAGTAAAACTTATATCATTCTGGGTCATGCGAGGATCATCTCGATACCAATTATTAGGAATCAATCGTTCTGCATTATCATCAAATGTACCATCATTGTTAAAATCTATCCACATACCAAGATAGCGAGAATCGCGACAATTTCTTCCGAATACAGATGGATCTTGACTATAAGTACTACCATAGCCTGATTGTTGAACACAAGATAATTCGATATGAAGAGTATAAGCCGTATTATCGAATAATGTCACAGTTAGATCGCTTCGATCTCTATAATTATTTGTTGAACTACATTGTTTCATGTCATCTCGAATCTCTGTATTTTGTTCACCCAATACATTGACAAAAAAGATAGCACTATTGCCTACTGAACATACCAATTTACCAGGAGAACAATGCGTGCCTCTGTAGCCTAAAATAAAGGATGCAACATATTATAATAAAAAATAAACAAATTTAATCTAATGGTTTTGTTCGTGTAACTTGCTTTTCATTGAATAGAAAAATCTATCAAGTTGATGTCGTTTCAAATACATCCTGAATTTTTATCTACTTCTACATGGTCATATTTATACCAAAGTACATAAAGCACTTATCTTTTTTATTACTGAGAAAAATTTTAACAGCAACAAAAATCAAATAGAACTTCGTGAATTGCCGATACGTCATAACATTTTTCTGCCATTAAATAATAATTAAATTACAATAATAGACGATTCATACGCTGTTATTTTTTAACAGCACTGCACTCGTCTTTTTTTCAGTCATGACGGTATGTTTGTTTTAGTCTTTTTGTCATAAAGTCCTCACATATGATGAGTTCGAAAGCATTTGTAGTCCACAACTCATGCCTTGCCTGATTAAGCAACAGCCGTCATTGAGCTTATTATGTCTAGCCTTTGCTAGAAAAAGACTATCCATGTAATAGCGTCCTGACGCTTGTCTAAAAAGCGGTTTAAAATAAAAAAAAGAAAAGCGTTAACGACGCCGCATATTACAAATTGTAGCCATATATTGCAATCGAGTCTGAACTAGTCTATGTGATAGATGCATAAGAAAGAAGGTTAAAATCAACTATGCCCATAATATGTCACTTACGAATCGCCTAGCCTATTGACCTATACGGTTTTTAGTACATGTCAATAAACATTTTAAGAGGTGATATAATACAATTTTACACAGAGCTTTTCAAATTTCAGCACGAATAAAAAATTTTTATCACAAAATACCGAATCAGTTACAAAAAATTATATGTGTTGTTTGTACTTCAATATAGATTCATACTTTCAGTATAAAAAAACTACGAGCTTTTACTCTTCACAAAGGTGCTCGATAAACTTTTTGATATGAAGCAAACAAAATTGCAAATTTGTACATCGAATATAATGAAATATAAAATGTATGGTTTCATTAAATATGTTGAAGACATTTCGAACTAGTCAACTTGCTTTTCTTCGACTAATTTCAATTAGATATCAAATGAATAAGCGTTACTCTATTATTTGAATCGCTTAAAATGAGGTCCGCCTATCGTTAAATCGTGGTTTGCTATCAGAAAGTTGATTCAATATCCAATATTGTTGGATTAAATTATTGAATTCATATTTGATCTCAGTGTTTTTTTTTACTTTTCTCCTGACTAGTGCAACAGAAATGGACGGACAAAACACGCACTATACATGACGAATACAAAGACGTTTCAGATTAGCCCATACATAGTTGAACGACGTTTCTCGAAAAGGTAATTGGTCCTTACGAATATGCAAGACGTCTTAGACTAATTCTGATCGATAATGTGAACATTTTAGGCTAGCTTAGGACGACGTTCTCACTTATTTTTTGCTTATCTGTATTACCTCCACCATATGTATTACCACCATTGTATGTATTACCACCATTGTATGTATTACCACCATTGTATGTATTATCGCCATTGTAAGTATTTCTACCATCGTATGCGTTCCTGCCACTATATGTTTCCTTTGGAATGATGTTGACTGTATACTCTCGTGTTTCGCTGTAGTCAGATCTGCCACATAATCTGACATATTCATCACTTGCTTTCACAACAACGCGCATGATATGTGATCCATCTCTCGTAGTTACTCTATCGATACTAGGTATAGGAATTTCTAAATCATAAATTCCTAATGTCATTGTACTACGTAGTGGCCATCGATTTGGGGTGCGACTTTCTGATTCGTCAAATCTTCCGTCGTTATTTAGATCAATATAAACATTTACATCGTAAGCAAGATTGCATTGGATCTTAAATGGAGCTCTGCTAGAGCGTTGATCGCAATCTAATTGAATACGTATTCGATAGATGGTATTTTCAAATAATGTAACAGCCATATGGTGTCGATTTTGTTCAGGTTTAATGACAGTATTTATTGGTGTATCATCTCGAATATGTGTTCCTTTCTCACCAGCCATTATAACAAGTACAATTTGGCCATGGGTTTTAGAACATACTGCATTTGTTAATGTCAAATACGGGCCACCAATATCGACTAGACATAATAAAAATACACAAAAATAAGTATCCTGTATGAATTCAATTGATAGAACAATGTAGTATATCATATCATATCATAGAAATTTTAGGACTTCGTTCGTAATGTGAAATTTCATTACGTTTCACCAATCAGTAACTATCGATTGGATTTGAACTGTCGAAAATTCGTGTACTTTTATACCAATACAGAACTCACTCTCAAGAGTATCTTTTTTCAATCAAGAGATAATGAGAATATATTTGAAATTATCGAAGAACTTCACAATTTGATTAAATAAACGAAGAAGAATGCTATCCATCTATCTTTTATGATTATAACTCAAATTGAATGTCTCTGACAAACTTGAAAAAAAACGAATAAACAGCTCCTATACACTTGAAGATAATGTTATATTTCTAGTATTTTTTTTCCAGTTTTCTATGATATCATATTGATGTCCGTATGGTTTGATTAGTCGATCATATCTAGTTATGTTCATATAACGAAAAACACAGAACAAAATAAAAAACCTACATATATATTTATCTTCCTCATTTCAAGTGATACCATGTCCCAAAAAAAAAATTTTTTTTCATATATATTAATTGTAACGCAAAACGAGATTCTCTTTTGTTTACATCATATTTCCATTTATACACATAAATAGTGAATAAGAAATATTTATTAGAGAACATATTCCTAGAGTTTGAAAAAATTTAAGTGTTTATGTCGAGAGAAATAAGATTGTTGAAGTTCTGTCATAAATACTAAGTTTTTACACAAAAGCATGTATGTGTGTCAAAAGTTCATATCAATTTATTGTACTTAATATAGTTCAGTAGAATAGAACATCTTGAACGGGATTCTACTCTCACAATTATATTATTCATGTCTTTGTATTTTTCATTACAATAAATACATATGAAAATTCGCTCAAAACAATACTTTTTACTTTAGGAAATGAAAAGCTTCAATAACATATTAACTTCTAAATTCTGTTCTACATATATTTGAAGCTCTGAAGTTCTTTTTTCAAAAATACTTCTATTTGCAGGATAGTTTAGTCATCAATAATTCTTTTCATAAATATTCATAGTCTTGACAATAGCGTTCATTTTTTTTATACGTTGAAATCATCATGACATCAAACAAAATTTGCTCATAATAAAAATAGTCAAATCATACTCATAACATTTAATGTCTCGAGAGATATAGTAGAAGAAAACATATTTACCTGTTTGCTTCATATTCTTTTTAACAATAGTAACATTATATTCTCGTGTTTCTCTATAATAATTCTTCCCACATTTTTGACGATACTGTTCATTTAAGGTTACATCAAGACGCATGCGATGTGGTCCACTTTTCGTTCTTATTCCATCAATACTAGGCGCATATATTTGTAGATCATAGATGCCTTTTGGTACATAGCTAGCGAGCGGCCATCGGTAAGGAGCTGCATTTTCTGTTTCACTAAATCTACCATCATCATTTATATCAATCCATGCAGCTACATCATGAGGAAGGTTACAATTGTCTTCAGCTTGATCTCTGCTTTGTGATCCAGTGCATTCCAATTGGATACGTAGAAGATAGACAGTATCTTCATATAGTACAATAGATAAATGTTGATAATTTTGAGTGTTGCCAGTTAATGCAGCTCTAGTTGATGCATCATCTCGAATTTGTGTTCGATGCTCACCAGCCATTGCAACAAGAATAATCTTGCCAACATCCGGAGAACATGGTGCATTGTATGGCATCATAGAAGTGGGCGTAGCATCAAATGCTATAAAAATCAATTTATAAAACAATGTATTATATTCTAATCAATTGTGTTTAGTGCTGTTTGTAGTTTAATAATTTTTTTTAATGTTTTACAACCTCTTGAACTTTTGAAGAGTAATATTACAGTTAAACTTATTATGAATCGATATTATCGGAAAGAAACTTGCTTGCAACAATCTTAGATTTTCAAAAGTCTAGAAATCATATAGTCTCTTAGAAATACATCAACGTAAAGAATGTTTTAGAGCACTATCCATATAATTGAATATTTTATGATAATAATTCATATTGAGTGATGAATACTGAACAACGATTTTTATCAGTAATTTAGATCATTGAAAACATCATCATCTTCGATTTCGTGATTATTCAGAAATCGAAAATTAAGTTCTATCAAATCTTTCTTTCCATTTCATTTGAGAAAAAAATTTAAAGTATGCATTTCTAGAAAACAAGTGTTTGTGAAATTGATCAAAAATAAAGATGTTGACAGGTTGATCTGCATTTACAACAAGTACTTTGCTTTTTTCTTTATTAATGATTATTAATCAATTTAATCGAATACTACTCTAATAATATACGCTTTTGAATTAATGTATAAATCATTCATATATACATATATGACAAGGATGAAAATTGTGTTCTATAAAGATTTCACATGTGCTTTCAGAGTTACTATACTATGATCTGATCTCAGCCTTGATATTAACATTTTATACTTCATCTTGACAAACAACGTATCTGAAGATTGCTACAATTTTAACAACTTACTCATGATTAAGAAAAAAAACTCAGAAAGGAAATGCACCAAATATATTTTTTATCTTTTCATGGAAATAGCTTATTTTCTTAAAGAGTCAGGAACATAAGCAACAATTAATGAACATCGACAGTATTTGCGTCTGTATAGAAAGCTAAAAGGAATCATTTCAATTTCTTTTTTTTTTTGATTCAGCGTTATAAGAAAAAACTAACTACTAATAAATAGAAGAATACTTACAGGTGTATTTCATTCTTGGAATAATAGTAACCATATACTCTAATGTTTCAAGGTAATTATAATCACCACAGAGTCTTCGATAATATTCACTTGGTGAAACAGCAATGCGCATTCGATGCGGTGCATTTTTCATATATCTGTTATCGATCAATGGTACATATATTTGTATATCATAGATACCTTCTGCCATATAACTGGTTACTGGCCAACGATAAGGAGCTCCAATTTCTGAATCATCGAATCTTCCATCATCATTTATATCAATCCAAACATTCACATCTTGAGCAAGATTACAGCCTGTTCTAGTTAATTCAGTCTTCAATTGCGAAGAACAATCCAATTGAATGCGTAACAAATAGACAGTGTGCTCAAAAAGTGTAACACCCATATGATGTTCATTTATGTAATTAGCTGATAATGAAGTTCTTGGTTTATCATCTCGAATCTCTGTTCCTTTTTCTCCAGCCATTATAACAAGAATAATTTTAGCGATACTTAGAGGACAGATAAAGCGAGTAGTTGTTTCGACTAGAATTAAAAAACAAACATTCACAATATTGAGTATTATGTGCTGATAAGATGGAAATGAAGGTATTATATCTCATGCTGTAGATAATATTGACCTAGTCATAATATTTTCTTTATTATTTAATAATAATTGAACTCGTTTGAACCTACATAGTCACATGTATAATTCTTACTCGATACAAAACTTGTTCTAAATAATTTCTGTTTATATGTGATATTATTGGAATATTTTATAATCTACATATTTCAATCATGTATTGAAAGACATAGAATAAAAATAAGATTATGGAAAAAAAATCTACGCGTTTCTCATCATGATTCTACGATGAGACACAGTTGTTTGTATTATAAAAAGAGGTCTCTTTTATTTTCTTTGTTTTCCTCATCATGATGTAATTTGTGATTATTTATAAATCTATATATATAATGTTCAGTGTGTGTGTGTTTTTTTCTCTGTGCCGGGTCAAAGGTTCAAGGTCAAGTAAGGCTATAAGGGGAAGATCTCCAGGGGCTATTACTGTGCACCTCAATTGGTTTCTCCTCCCCCC